AAAACCGGCGGGCCAGCCGGGGACAAAAAAAAAAAAAAAAAAAAAAGCCCTGACAGCCCAGCCGTCATTTCTCGCTGTTGAATAAGTTTCCAAAAGATTGGTTGCTGGCGGATTGTTATTACTGGGTTAGCTTACTGCCAGATGTACAGGACAATGCACAGGGGCCAGCAGCCACAGACAGGGCCGGACCGAGCTATTCCGGTGCCCCGGACAGACAGATTGCACCCCGGGTTGGGGGAAGGGTGCACCCCGGTGCGTGGGAGATCATTTCTCGCTGTTGAATAAGTTTCCAAAAGATTGGTTGCTGGCGGATTGTTATTACTGGGTTAGCTTACTGCCAGATGTACAGGACAATGCACAGGGGCCAGCAGCCACAGACAGGGCCGGACCGAGCTATTCCGGTGCCCCGGACAGACAGATTGCACCCCGGGTTGGGGGAAGGGTGCACCCCGGTGCGTGGGAGAGGGCGCACGGAGCTGGCAGCGGCAGGACGCACGTGCCCGGCCCGGCTACCGCCGCTGGCGTGCAGGGCCCCACAGTGCCGAGGGGACGAGCGCTGATGGCTGGCGCTGTGAGGGTTAACACGGTCCGCGCCCCAGGCGGCCGCTGCAGGGTGGCCGCTGGGAGCTGCTGCAGCCCACAATCTGGGAGCTGGGCACACGGCGCCTGATGGCAGCTATAAGGGGCACCACGCACCCCTTACAACTGCCATCAGATGCCCCCCATAGGTTGGCGCCCCGGGCAGCTGCCCGGCTAGCCCATGCCTTAATCCGGCCCTGGCCACAGCCCGGGAGAAACAACGCCGCCACTGACTGATGAGATGCATTATTGGCACTGGGGAAAAGCCATGATGATTATCTGCAAAGTACTTAACCTGCCCACAGTGCACTGTCGATACTAGTTCATGATGAACGGAGGGCTCCTCTGAGCCACCCATTACAGATTCATGGAAAGAGCTGTCAGCCCCAATCCTGCGGGAGCAGCGCCCCCTTGACGTGAGTGGGGGCCATGGGGGGCCCTGGACAGGGATCAGGATCAGGACCGGGGCTGTGCCAGCGGCGTCTCTGCTAACGCTCGCCAGAGGCCGACAGAACCAGGTAGGCTGGATTCTAAACAAGTCTAGCCAGACTCCGGGCCTGCCATGGAGCTGCATACCCATAAACACGGGCGCAAACTGTGGCAGGGCAGCTGCTTTCAGGGGCTCCTTTTCCTACCCATGTGTACAGAGACTGCCTCAATCGGGTGCCACGCCTGGCCAGGGCCTCGGCCAGGAGCTATCGGAGTAGACCCCAGTCCGGTCAAACGCGCCTGCTTGCTGAGAAATTAAATAAACCCCCAAAAGCAAATGGGGGTGGGGGAATGAATTGCAAGCCCCCCCAGGAAGCAGAGGTGCATGCTCCCCCTGGTGGCTGTAGGGCAGCACTGAGAGGGAGGGGGTGTAAGTCAGTGCATTTGGTGAAGGGCTGAGAAGTCTCCTGCATCCTCTGATAAAGTTCACTTCAGCCCATAGGTGCTGGATCTAGGGGGGCTGCTGCACCCCCAGCTTGAAGGGGCTCCCTCCAAGGTTCTCTCGGGTGCCCCGCTCTTTAGCCCTCCCTCAGCCTGTCCCTGGCCTGACCCAAACACCCCAGGCTGGGCCAGCGAGCCAGGCGCCAAGCGGAACAAGAGGCAACGTGCGTTAAGGGCTGAAATGCAGCTGTGCAGAACCCGCACTGCTGGGCCCAGCCCCCCGGGAGCTCTGCCCTGTGGGGAAGGGGGCTGAGCTGGGATGGGGTCGGGGCAGGGATGGGCTGGGGGTTGGGGTGAGTTGGGAAGTGGGATGAGTTGGGGCTTCTGAGGGGGAATGAGAAGAGGGGCTGGTGGGCTTGGAGGGGAAGGGCTGAACTGGGAGACTTGAGGGAGGAAGGGCTGAGCTGGGCTTTGGGGGCAGGGTGAGTAGAAGGGCTCGGAGGGGAGAGGAGAAGGGCTCTGCTGGGGGGGCTGAGAGAGAGACTGAGCTGGAAAGAGTATGGGCTGGGCTGTGGGCAGAAGAGGTGGACCAGGCAGCTCTCCAAGTGTCAAGTGAAAGCTTCACCCACTGCCTAAGCCTACAGCTCTGGACCATCGTAATTCTTTTGCACAGACCCTAGTGGGAACAGGAAAGGTCCCTGTAATGTAAAAGTGACAGAACGACTTTCAAATCCCTGCTTACCCAGTCTACATAATTCTATCAGAGCCCTACCACAGGAGATCTGCTAGGAGGGATCCTCCCATCACTGATTTCTGTGCAGTAGGATGGCGATATCTTTGGGAATAAACAGAGTTTTCAGTCCGGCGAGACTTTGGGTTGCCAGGTGCCTGGTTTTGAACCGGACAGTCCAGTATTTGAGCTTTCTGTTCTGGAAACAAATTGAGAAAATAGAACTGTCCGGTATTTTCTAAATCAGATGGAATGTCGATTGTGATGTAATGTCAAGTGTGTCCGGTATTTTTGTTGAAACCATCTGGCAACCCTAGGGAGGGCTGAGCTGGGGATCGCAGGGGGGAAGGGTTGAACTGGGGGCTTGGAGGAGGGAAGGGCTGAGGGTCCCAGGAGGAAGGGCTGAGCTGTGGGTCCAAGGGGGGAAGAGCTGAGCTGGGAATCACAGAGTGAAGGGCTGAGAGGGAG